GCATGGGGTTGTTAGCACATTCCAAAATGCAAATTAGCCCTCCACCAGAAGAGCTTATATTAAATTTTTGGTATGTCTCCCTCTTATTGTTAATGCCATGCCAAAATTACTTATTTAAATACCATTCAATTTTCGAATATAGTCGATTTTTCATGTTTTATATTTATTATCTTAAAGAAATCCTTTTTTAGGATGATCCTATTTGTATTTTGAGTTTTTAGTTTTAATATTTAGATTGTTTTATTTTTTTGTTTTGCATTTGCTTAGAGGTTTATGATTGTCAACATTTCTAAAAGTTTTAAAGGTATCAATCAATTTTCAAATTTTTGAATAGTATAATATTATTTTTTATCAAGCTTGAAAGCGAGTGTTTAATAAAAACGAGTGTCTAGAGAAGTTTATACGACGAACACAAAAAGAATTTAAAGCCAATTTTATTTCGAAGTTTATACGTACAGAGGCGCCTCTGTAGATAAAGTTACGGTTATGTACAGAGGCAGATTAACTAGCGTCTAGAGGCACCGAATTATCTTGGCTCCCTGGCTCCTAGAGATGCGCGTTTTATAGAAATGTACTCAAACTCAACAACACAACCCAACCGACCCCGCCCCATTGGGCCCCCCCCCGCCCCATTGAGCAAAAAACCCAACTAAAATGGGCAAATTTATGTTACGATAAAAATAAAACACTTTTTAATTACATAAATTAGCCCATTTTAGTTGGGTTTTTTGCTCAATGGGGCGGGGTCGGTTGGGTTGTGTTGTTGAGTTTGAGTACATTTCTATAAAACGCGCATGTCTAGGAGCCAGGGAGCCAAGATAATTCGGTGCCTCTAGACGCTAGCATTTCAAATATATGGTACCTAATGTTTGAAAATAAAATGAATTTAAACCATATAACACTATAGTATACTTAATACAAGTCAACGCGTCTCTGTATATTGATATTTTTTACAGGGACGCCTCTGTACATAACCGTAACTTTATCTACAGAGGCGCCTCTGTACATATACACTTCGATTTTATTTGTTAAAAAATTGACATCTGTCAACTGTCACCGGAATGTAACCTCACATTTTCACAATTTAAAATAAAGCTTCAACCCTTGATTAAAAAGTTTAAAATCAACTTTAGCCGGTGAGTTACATACTATACTTTATCTACGACGAACAAACAACAGAATTTAAAGCAAATTTAATTTGTTAAAAGTTTGACATCTGTCAACTGTCCCCCGGGTTTAACCTAACTTTTTCCAATTTACAATAAAGCTAAGTTTAGCCCGTGAATAGAATTCCTAAAAACCACTGTTGCTAACTTCAGCCCGTGACTAAACCGCCCTAAAGTCACAGCTCGTCAACAGAGGAGTAGATAAAAAGTATTTAGAATCTTAGAATCTTAGAATTTTAGATAATTGGTATACCAAAAAATATTGTCATTTATCCTGCAAAATGTCATATTTTGTATAAAAAAGAAATGAAAATATAAAATAATTTTCAACTATTATATGTGAATTTGATAAAAGACAAAATATGAGTACAATAAAGATATTTTTATTAAATAATTCTTCCCATACATTTAAAAGTTGTTGTATCTTGAATTATTTTATTTTTACTAACTTTTAAACAACCTGTAGTTTAAATCCCAAACCCAATGTTTTTTTTTTGAAAATCAAAACATTTTATCAAAAATACCTTTTCGAAAAATCGCAAACAAAAATATGTATAAATAAACTCTACCGATCCTAAAAAACAAAGGCAAAAAATCTTTTTAATTTTTGAGGTAATGTTTGTATTCAGACTTCGTTTTTTAAATAAAAAAACAATTTTTTTTTATAAAAATTTCCCCAAGAGGAATAATTTTTAAAAAATATTCTTGAGCGAAAAAAAGTCTTAGGATATAATTTAAGCTCGCGCGGTATTCGATAAGAAAATTTTACACCAAATTGTGTTTAAAATAAAATCATTTTAAAATTATATTTTTTGACTTGTAACAATGCCAGTTTTTTTTCTTTGACAAGACATCACCATGATTTCTACTTATTGTGGTTGCACGTAAATACAATTTTAAGACATTAGTACATTCTTAATTTTTTATATGTACACTTTATATGGCGTGCATAACCAGCGGCAGCGAACATCATAGAAGAAAGGAGGCACTGCCACCGTGGCAGAATACAGAAAACAACTTAGCTTGGCTATTAATCTATTTTTTATTAATATACATTACCGTCTATAAGTAAATCAAAAAATCTTTTGTATGATGACTTAAAAATATACAGGTTTATTAATTCTGAACAAGATTGTATTAATTTGCAAAGAGACATAGATTTAGTATTGAATTGGTGTGACTTAAATAAATTACACTTAAATATTTCTAAAGGCAATGTTCTAACGATTACAAAAAACTCTCGCCAATCATACAGTGGTGGTAATGTACGCGTATTCCCCTTTGTAGACAAAGACGCTAACAATAGAGATGCCATATAAGACGTGTAAAGTGTGGAGTGCCCCACCACTCCAGGAGTGGTGGGGCACTCTGCCTTGGGCAGACAACTTGTAGCGGCGTCAGACCAAAGTCAAAAATGTATGGATTTCAGCATCTTAGGGCCAATAATCTTGATGAATTAAGAGCAATGATTATTGATACATTAAGAAATATTAACCCTAATATGCTGTCAAATGTCCGTCAAAATTTTTACAACAGGTTGACGTATTGTTCGGCAGCTTTTGGGCAGCTATTTGAACATTTGCTTTAAATTATTTTTTCTTTACGTTTTTTAAAATACTTTTTTACTTGAGAATATTTGTTTTTTTATTACAAGAATATTATTGTTTATTTTCCACATTTCCTAAGAAATATTTGCAAGGAATTTTTGTTTCTGTAAACAAAATCATAATAAAATATTTACGTTGTTTTATAACAACCGACTACACCCTACCTCAGTCGTAATGAAACTGACACTAAATAGTGGCAAATCTCGAACATGTCGAGTGGGCGGGACCCGCCCGGCGGGTAACGCAGATAGTTAAAGAAGGGGAAGTAAAACATTGGCGTGTAATAGACCGTTTTGATTTAATTGTTTTAAAAATTTCTACTGCACGCTCATGACGGAGGGGAATCACGTTTGTTAACCAGTCGATGGTTGTTAATCTCACTCTTTCGTACGTTTTATATTGCATGCATCTTTGTCACAATTTGGCCTAAATGTGCATTATTACCACTGTATATAACTACAGTATTAATAACTCGGAATTAAATAGAGTGAAATGTGATTTTGAACTTTCTTTTGATTCTCATATGAATCATATGGTCAATGCTTCTCTAAAAACACTGGGCATTATTGTGCGAAATACGCGTGATTTTGTGGATCTTAAAGCTATCAATATATTATTTAATTCATTAAATATTGTGCTTTAGTTTGGTCACCTTTGTATAATAACGTCCAAACATTTTTTACCTCAAGTTTAAAGAATTGAAAAAATAAGAATTAATTTAATTATATTGTTTTTATATAAACTGTTAAACAGTAAAATTAATAATTCTGATTTCTTGTCAAAAATTCCATTAAGAGTAGGGGAGACCGGGGCAGTGAGGTCCATTATTATTAATGCGTGAAAGTGTTTCAAATGGTGGACCTTCTTACCCCGATATTCGGGGCATGGAGGACCAATGTAATAAAAGTGTTTTTTTATCTTTACCAAAAAATGTTAAATTTTTTTCGGTTTTGTACTATATTAGTTGGACCATAATATAGCTGAAATATTAAAAAAAAATGCTTCAGCGATCCTCGCTGCCCCGGTCTCCCCTACCAATAAGAGCAACTAGAAACTGCGATCTATTTTACTTAACAAAGACCAGTCCGAATATTTTTATTATGTCAACTATAATTTAATTGTGTTACTATGGAAACAAAGTTTCTCAAGATTTTTTCTGTTGTAGTTATAATATCTTATTGAGAATGTTGCCTAAATAATATTTATTTAGATCTTTATGCATTGTTTATTATGTATTTCTTACTATTATATTGTACGAGTAATTGGGCATCAGCATGTTGATTTGTACTTTAAATAAATAAATAAAGAAACTAAAACTAATATTGCCAAAAAAAAATATTCTGTGATTATTTCGAAAAATTTCACAAAAATACATGTGTTGCCATGGTGTCCTGTCAAAAAAACATTTTGATTAGTAATGGTGTTGAATTTAAAACAAAAATAAGGGTGGGTACTTTTCTCTTGAATCGTTTTCCTAATTTTTGAACACCCATTACATAAAATCACAATTTTGTTTATGCCCTTAATATTTTTTGGACAATCAAAACTTTTTATTAAGAATGACTTTTTATCGGAAAAACAAAAATGTTAACTCTAGCTAGATATAATATTGTCCTGTATTATTTGTATTTTTAATATCCAGATTGCAAGCAATTATAATTTTACTCGGTAGTTTTTAAATTTGCCTTTTCTAAAGTGGGTTACAGAAACAAAGTTTGATTTAAGTTAATTTTAAGTTATGAGGAAAATTTCTAATTAAACTTTTATTAAACTCTTAGTTGCATTTTATGATATCAAAAAGTTAAAACGATATCAGGAATGGAACCCTACCGTAATCTTAATGAATCCAGGACTACACCTTTACGCTTTTCTCCTCTTCTTTATATTAACTCATTTGTCAATTTAATACCGTCCTTAATTTTGTTTTCGTGGATATTACTTTTTTACTTTGTACGATTAGGATGGAAACTTTTTGGGATATTTTTTTATTAAAAATTATCTCACCCCCGACCTGTCATTTTGAATTTCAATAAAGAATTTGCAAACATAAAATTATCAAATTAATAATTTTAGAATCTAAACAGTACATTTCATTTGGTAAACCCAAAGAAGAATTTCCTTTTTCGGGTTTCTTTAGCAAAAAATATGAACAGAATTGCCTTTTCTGCTTCATAAACTGCACAAAGCCGAAAGTTCCAAAAAGGTAATGCTTTTTACTCAACACCAGTCAGACACAGATTTTCGTCCTTTTCGCTGTACTTTTAAAATTTTTATTTGTTAGGAGCCTTTGTGTCTGCTTAAATAGAGTATTACCGCCTAAACCCGAGATAAAAGGTCGAAATAAAATTTGTATACACTCTACGTAAGTACAAGTTAAATAAACTTTTCTTGGCGGCTTTTCCAATTTTCTAAGAGTTTTAAATATATATTTATCAATATAAGGGTAAATTTTACATTTTTAGTCTTCGGTAATGTTTAACTGTGTTAATGCTTGTTTTAACATTAAATTCATAAAACGTTTTGTTGATATTAAAGAATAAAATGAGTTTAATTTTCATGAATGAAAAAAAAAAACAACTAATTTGTTTCTTTTATTAATTTTAACTACGTATCCCCAGGAATCCCAAAAAATTGTTAAAAAATGCTACCTTCATTATTGAAAAAGATACAGGGGATACATATTTTGCAACATTGTCTAATAATAAAGTGGTAGTTTAAATCTTAATGATCATAACAACAAATAAGAATATTAGAAAGTGTAAAAATGAATTAAACAAATTTGTTACTTTAAGTAAGAGGTTATTTATTTTACGTAAGACTGGATAGAAGGTAATATAGGAATTCCCGATCAGGGACTATTCAAACCATAGATTAAATTTATAAAGAAAAACAAAACAAATATTAACAATACCCTTATTCAATTTTCCAATTATTTTTCAAACACAAGATACAAATCACAATAATCACTAAAGAAATACATGTCAATATCTAACTGTAATGAACAGAATATAATTTTCCATTTTAATCATTATCAATGGTGTGATAATTATTGGTTGAAACATGATGTTGACAATTGCATGCGTATTGTTAAAGTAAAAATCTTTCTCAAAAGACAAACATTAACTCCCAATAAAACTATTGTTTAAACATTTCGTACATTAGGCCTAATTTATTTAATAAAACTGGAAACAATATAAACAAGGTAAACCTAATATTTTAAGTTTAAAAGCTCAATTTGTATGCTGTTATATCTGATCTAAATACAATTTTATAAGATAATTCTGTAAATCATACAACTTCAAGGGGACTCCCTGTATATTAGCTAAAAAATATTGAAAAAACGTTTTTTATTAAGGTTTTTTATTAAGAATTTCTCCCTACCTGCCGGGCTATATATTTGGGGTTTAATAAGAGAAATTACTTATAAACATAATGAAAGTAGTAATAGGGATCAATTTTAAACTGTTTTCAATATTTTTATTATATATATATATTAGGGTGTCCCTTATTTTTATTTTTTTTACGCATACCCTCTAATTATGTTTATTACTTGTTTATATACTCCCAGTAAAAATTTTAGCTCATTCTATAAACGGGAACCCGTGCCGACTTGCATCTAAAATCTCCGTTAGCCAACGTTAGGCGCGCGGGGTATTTTGTAACACGAAACACTTTAAAAAGAAGATATACTTTATGACTGTATTTTTCTAATGATTTTATTAAATATGATTACTAATTAATATTATTGCTTTTGTTTCTATCATTTGTTTCACTAATTTAGTTGATTTTATCCCTTAAATATATTAATATACTAATTAGTATTGCTAAAATATACTGTTATATGAAATTTCAGCTTTTTATAAGCATTTCTTTTCTTGATGTCCTCCCAAAAATATTTCAGACAGTTCAATAAGTTTTCGGTAGTCATCTCTCACAATAGACTCTTTTAGTTATTTAGAGTAAAACCCATTAAGTTTATCAATTTCAGAGTTTACGGCCTATTCACCAGACCCTTCCGAATAACTAGCCACTCCCTGTGAAAATATACATTTTTATCAAAGTATACACATAAATAAAATTATATTTTAACGTTTGTCAATAATTTATAATATAAGGGTCACATAATAACAAACACAAAATGACTTACGATCGAAGACCTCGCGACCAACCGTGTTACCCGCGCGCCTAACGTTGGCTAACTGAGGGTTCAGATGCAAGTCGGCACGGGTTCCCGTTTATAGAATGAGCTGAAATTTTTATTGGGAGTATATAAACACGTAATAAATATAATTAGAGGGTATGCGTAAAAAAAATAAAAATAAGGGACACCCTAATATATACAGGGTGTCCTGAAATTAATGCACCATACTTTAACAGCAGATTGTACGTGCAAAAATAAGAAAAAAAGTCCCTATAAACATAGGTCAAGAAATGCCTCTTAAGGGAGCTACAGCCCCCAAAAAGAAAGCCCCTGAAGATGGTTTTTATTTAATATCTCCAAAACCGTTAAAGATATAAAAGTGAAATTTTGGGGAATTAATTAAACTTTTTATGACCAATAAGACGTAACAATAACAATTTAAAATTTTTTATGAGGTTTGGGTCAAATTGATAGGAAGTAGGGTTAAAACCACCTTAACTTATTTGTACGTATCTTGTACCAGAATTTGGTGTCAGATTATGAAATTTTAGAGTTTTGCACATAAAAAAGGTCATCTTGTTGAACTTCGATAACATACACCGTTTTCGCATAAAATCGATTTGAAAATTATTTTACATGGCATAAAAATTCACAATTAAATCACAACCATAGAAATTGACTCGCGTGGTCCTTGGAATACGGCTGCCATGTTTAGGAAAAAATAGAATAATTCAAGACAGGTGACAGTTTCATGTAGTAAGTGACAGGGTGTTTCTACTTTTTTATTTATATTAGATAAAAACCATCTTCAGGGGCTCCCTTTTCGGGGGCTGTAGCTCCCTTAGGAGGCATTTCTCGACCTATATTTATAGGGACTTTTTTCTTATTTTTGCACGTAGAATCTGCTGTTAAAGTATGGTGCACTAATTTCGGAACACCCTGTATATATATTTATTTTATTAAGGTGTTTAAAAAAACAATTATTTTTTTTCCAATGGTGTTGAAAAATTAATAGTACATTAAAAACAAAAATGTTGGCGCATATTTGAGCCCTTAATATTAATATTTGTTGTTTTTCCATTTCAATAATACTGGAATTTTTATTTTTTTAATTTTGAATTTCTTTTTGGAATGGTTTGTTTTCGCAACACCCAAGCGAGAGGAGTTATAGACAATTTCACGCTCTACAAAAAACATCTGAAGGTCAAAGTTCTTCAGATCAAACGTTTCAAAGATATCATCGATATGTTTTCAAATAAAATACTAAAATATCATATGCCATATTTATATTATTATTTATGTGAAATCACTTTAATTCTGTTAACCTGAGACTTTAAACTTTTTTTTTTATTTATATATATTATTATATTTATACAGTGTGTTTAATTTTGAATGGTGACAATTCGCTATTTATTTAAAAATAGATCGATCTCAAAATTTTTTGTTTTAAATTTGTAGTACTCTAAAAGCTCTATCTTTAAAAAAAAACTTTGTCATTTGTCATTTCCACGACCCTCTATGATTAATAGAAGGTCTCCAAAATCTTCAAAAGTTATTAGGCATTTTTTAAATTTAAAAATGAGCAGCGTTTCTGAATTTGGCATACCCAAAAACCCCTAAAACGATAATTTTTTAATAAAATTTTATACAGGATGGTCAAAAAGTAAGGTCAAATTCGAAAAAAAAACCCTTTTTTAAGCACTGTGTGCGTATAATTAGGTATTATACGAACTAAACATTCGCTTAGTTTTGTTACTCTAGGTTATACAGGGTGTTCAAAAATTAAGGCCAAAAAGGTATTTTAAATAGTAATTTTTAATATTTAATTTAATCTAACTGGAGACAAAATAATAATAAATTAACTATTTAAAAGTAATTTTAAAGTAGCATTTAGCTTTTAGAGTACTTACCACAAACTTAAAACAAAAAAATTTGGGGTCCATCTATTTTTAAATAAATCCCGAATTGTCGCCAATCAAAATGAAACACACTGTATACATTATAATTTTATGTTCAATTTTAATTATAATTAACAAATCTTGTTTACACTTTATGAAACTGACAATAATACGTATAGTGCAAGAGGACTAAATAAAGGAGGAGTAACTCTCCTCCACAAGGCCAAATTCGGTACGCAGGGAAGCCTACAGCATAGCTTTTATCCAATGCTGGCTGGATAATTTACAATAAACAGGCACAGAGTGTGCGCACGAGCATTTTGCGCATCCTGAGGTTACTACTAAAGAACGTACGTACGTTTTTTGGCCTGCCCCAACTAGCAATTTACTTCTCCTATATTAAATCTTCTTGGTCTAGTGATTTATTGTCAAAGGTTTGAATATAAAAAATATTTACTGCTTTTCCAAAAAATTAACATCACTATTATAGTAAAAGCAAACCTAAATTTTAGTCCTTTATTTTGGTGCATGATGAAAGAAAACTGATAAAATAAACCCAAGGACAAGGAAACAAAATTTTTGTTTTGTAATTGATGTATACTTGATTAATAAGCTTAAATTTTTTAACAAATAATCCTTAATTGTTTTGTAATGAATTTTAGCCATACACAGTAGCTACATAGTCTATGTAACATAGATATTCAAAAGCTGCGATATAAGCCCCTCTCAATTTGCAAACAAAAAGCAATCTCAGTTTTAATAATTGCTTTTGTTGAATTTTTTCCGGAGACAAACTCGTCTTTGTAAAATCCGTATAAATTCAAATGAAGAGCACTCTATTACTGTCAACTTTAATAAAGATATACACGAGTATTTTCATCCGGGTGAAACATGAACATAATTATATTGCCCCGACTACCTCAAGGACTATTTTCGACAGATAGAAGAAAAAAATATTTTTATTTATGACTTTATTTCAAATTCATTTCCATTGCTGTATTATACATGTTACATGTACCCGGGATTTTGTGTATTAACCAGAAATTTTACTTTACTACGATTTATTTAAAAATATAATGAATAAAGTTTAAAAATGTACCCCGATAGGCATTAAAAGTAGATCAGTTAAATTATGTTTGATAAATTTTATAATTTTTAATTAAGAACAATTAGCCTCGACATTTCAAATTTTTACTTACGCCCCAAAAGGAGAACAACTTTACAACTGTTTAAAAAAAATAGAAAAAAATATTCAAAACCTTTTTACACATACTAATATTACTATAATAAATGTAAAAAAGAAAACTGCTTGTTTTCGAAGAAATGTTTTATTTAGCAATCTTATGTATGTTTTTTTCAATCGTATAACTCACATAATTATACACCGCCGTACAATAATAAAAATACATTAAAATTACATAGGAAGGGGGTTCCATCAATCCCATTTAGCTCGAAATTAGTGTAACTAGGTAACTGTAATTACAGGTCATAACCTATAATTTCAAACGTCAACATTACCTAGAAATAATGCGCATATTTTAAATTTAATACTATGCTTTATCTACTCCAATTAGTAGATAATTAAATGATTTTCAAATTATGTAAATAAAATCCTACACCTGTCACATTGTTGACCTTACTTTCTACAAATTTTAAATATCATTATAGGCTTCTTCCAATTGAAAAACCGATTAGTCCAAATCTCCGTGTATAATTAAATCGACCAATCATTAATGCCTAACAGCGAAAATAATGAGTTCATTATTCCCGTTGTTAAACGAGGCGGTTATAATGGTTATATGAAAAAAAAACTAATATAAGGTGGCGCACCCGATTTCCCAAGGCAATAATTAAAAAAAAAAGATAAATATCGATTCTGTTATATTATGTTCTTGACTCACCAGGAAAAAATGTAAAGGTCCAAATTCTTAGGAAATTGGTTGATGACTTTTGCACCCACCTTGTATTATGAAATAGGAGATAGAAGTATATACAACACGGCAGAGAAAGTATATTAACTGCCTCGATCAGATCTGAGCTCGTATACGTATATATAATATATTATATATAAGCGCCTTCTTCGCCAGTTAGATGATGTATTGTTAAACTTAATTAAAATTAGATGGTTGTTTAAAAAAAAAATCGTTCATACCTTTACTTGCTCCGTCAGGTCCTCTTAATATGGTACATTCTTCTATACCTCCAAAAGGTGCAAACAACTGTCGTACATCTTCTTCAGATTGTTGTTTACTAAGCATGCCCACGAAAAGCTTTCGATCTGCGAAATGAAAAAACAAAACATCAAAATTTGTTTTAAACAATTTAATAATAATAATCAAACACATATAACAATACTAAACAGATGTGCAATTTAATTTAAATAGACCGCTAATATTGACACTCAAGGTACGAGCTAGGAGCTAGCGTTTCATGTTAGTGGATCTATTTATTTGGACAGTAAAAGGATTTTTAGGTGTACAGGGATGAGTGGTCGCTTGTAATTGGATCAAGCTCGTTTTCTAAATCAAAGTAGCCTGACAAAATGAGAAGTTCGCCCCAAAAGCTGCCCATCCAAACGTATAACCTGCTAACCGAAAGAAGAGACATTTCTACAAATTACTTTTTTGTATTAAAAATGTTTCCAAAGGTAATAAAGATAATTAAGAAAACCCTTATAAAAGAAACTCCTTTTTAAAATCAATATATTAATTGTAATGTCATTATAATTAATATAAATATCATATTTTGTCATTCAAGTTAAAGCGCTATAATAAATAATGTATGTCCTACAATCCTTTTATGAATAACTAATTATTATAATATAAGGCTCTATAGAAATTAGCTTTATTTATAAAAAACTTTTTTAATATATTTTAGATGTAATTAAGTAAAGCGATATGTCTAAAGATTTTCCCATTAGGCTCTACTGTTATTTTGAGATGGCTGTACGATATTCTCTGGAGCATAGAAGGGTGCTTATAAGCACGTACAAAGGGTCCATAATATGAAAAAACAAAACTAAGTTACTTTTGTAGTATTGCCCAATGGAAACACTAATAGTAATTTATTTTTAACTTACTAAGGAGTCCGGTTAAACAGCTCTGTCAAGATAATTCTGTTACACGCGATGTTATTTACTATCTTTTAGATTAAATTAAAAAAGTCACGTGAGGCGTTTTATTTATCATTGGGGTGATGTAACTTGCATAAACGTTAATTTTGAAACCACCTTTACGTATTAATTACTTGTTGTTGTTATGTCTATTGTTTATTTGAAGGGATAATGGGTTACATAGGGTACATGACAGTGCTTGCTAGTTGCGTTGTTACATAATATCTCCGACGTACATTGACCATACTTACCGAACATTTAGGTGGATCAAAAAGGGAAAAAATAAGTTTTACTTATAATAGTATACTCAGTATTGCTATAATTTTGTTTTAATTAAACTTATTTTGATATCTTAACTCTATAGATCGGCACAAGCGAAAAACAAAGTCTGTAAAGTTAAGATAAAGGCGGCCCATTGAATCAAAAAGAAAGCTAAATTTAAGTATAACAAAGTCTAGTTCGTCCCGTTTTTGTAAAATTTAAAAAAAATAAAAATAACTTTGCACTATACATTCAAAGAACGTGCTGCCAGACTTTTTAATCGAAATAAAACTACGTTAAACAAGTTAAGTGTTTGTGTTAATGTGTCAAAACAAAGAAAGAAAATATCAACCTTTTTGAGTTTTTAAGAACACTATCTAAAAATGAAATAGTCAAAATTCTACTATTTGAATTAGTACCAGCATTTTTTTACTAATAAAATAGTCGTTTTCACTTTTAAATAGATATTTTTTACTACGTAAATAGTTTGACTAATTTAAGATTAGTCACCATCTTTGACTATTTCTGAGAGTTAAAAGTAACTAATTTCTTTAATCGTTTGCGGCCAACAACAAAGTATTATTTGAATTAAATGCATATACCTAAGCTCCATGGTTAAATGACAAATAAAAATAAATAAAGATACAAAAAGTTTAGCTCAAAACAGCAACACAAATAATATATTCAACTTTAAAATATTAGAACAATATTTATTGACAAATTAAATTGATTTTTATAAGAGCGGCTGATAGCCGAATGGGTTATGACAAATGCTTGACAAGCTTGACAAGTGACACACCTGAGTTCAATCCCCGGCAGAATCAAAACTTTTTTAAATTTAAATCTACTAATTTGACTATTTCATTCTGTAGAATTTGACTAATTATTAGTGACTGCTTTTTCGCTAAGACAATTAGTCAAATATGACTTAAAATTAGTTATTTTTGACTAATTCATTTTAAGAGAGCAAGTAAATTTATTTTGAAAATAAAGATATTTTGTTAATCTGTATGGATTTAATGCGATCTTAGACAGTAGTCTATCGTTATTGATCAGTCAACTTTTAATTGCTGATTTAATCCTGGCCATTGCTGCTAAAAATTTCTCAATAAACTGGTACATAAAAACAAAAATGACAAATTAAACAATGCAAAATGAAATCGTTTTACAATGGCTGATAATTATAACAATAATGAACTAGTGGGCATGTTATTAATTTACGAAGAGTGTCGTCAAAATGCAGCGGGTATATCGCTGGTTTCAATTGTACGCCAATAATTTTCCTAACCAGATTCATTAATCCTCAGGCATTTTTGAATGCTGTTTAAAGGGCAAGGAATTCTGGTAGTTTACAGGAGCATTGTGAACGACACACAGGATGACCTAGGCACGCTAGACATCTTCAGCAGCAGAAACACTTTCTGGATTTAGTGCTTGAGGATCCAACTAGCATTTGTGTAATCGCTTTTTAGGTTTAAGTTAGTCGGATGAAAGTTGGTAAAACAAAAATCAGTTTCATTCTTACCACGTTTAAAGAGTTCAAGCTTTTGCAACTTGCTTTTAGTGCAAAATGTCAACGATATAACTTTTTAAGATGGATTTGGAACACACATATTTGGTGTGTAGAGAATCCTAGTGTTCGATGAATTAGATAGTTTTTCCGTTAATATGTGAGCATGCTAATTGGACCGTCATCCTTTTATTAAGAACTTCTGAATTTCCAAGTATCTGAAAGTTAACTCGTGTGACACCTGTGTTTAAATCTGGTGAAGCTGCGAACATTGCTAATTACAGACCAATAGCAATATTGTCCAATTTTGCGAAGGTCTTTGATATCTGTTTATATAGCCGCATCTGCTCTTTGCTGTCATTATGTATTACTCCCCAACAACATGGTTTTATAAGTAATAAATCTACACTCACAAACTTAACTGTTTTCTCACAGTTTATTGCTGATACTATTGATAATCGTGGGCAGGTGCATATTGTGTACACGGATTCCTCGAAGGCCTTTGACACAATTGTACATAATATTTTGATTAACAAACTTGGTCTATTTGGACTTTCAGATTCGTTGATTAAATTAATAGCTTCATATTTGAATAATCGTAAATTATGTTTCGCATCAAGGGTTTAAATCAAAATGTTTTGTAGCTACCTCGGGAGTACCCCAGGGGTCAAACTTGGGATCGCTATTATTCAATCTCTTTATAAATGACCTTGTTTCTTCACTAAAAACTCAAAATTTACTTTTCGCTGACGATTTAAAGATATATCACACTGTACTGTATGTTAAAGACTGTGAGCTTCTTCAGTCAGATCTGAACTTAATTCAGCTGCGGTGTAAGGAAAACTCCTTAGGCCTAAACATATCTAAATTTAAAGTTTGCTCGTTTACTCTTAAACTAAATTCAATTAGATTTAAATATAATATTGAACATATCTCATTGTCCCGTTCTAGCTTAGTCAAAGATCTTGGAATTCTGTTTGATAATAAGTTTAGCTTTGTAAATCATTTTCAAAATATTTGTAACTCTGCTTGCTTCTTGCTTTTTTATCGAAACTGTAAATCTTTTAAAAATATGTTTGCACTAAAGTCGAATATTTTAGTTTAGTTCGTTCTAAACTTGAATATTGTTCAAATATTTGGTATCCTTATTCACTGCAAATCACTTGAAGCAGTTCAACGTCGATTTTTGAAAATGTTATATATTAAAAAACACAATACTTATCCAGACAGGGGATATCAACATAATCTGTTATTGCAGGAATTTAATATTTCAGCACTACATGTTAGGAGAATATATTTTCTCTGCTTGAGCGGTTAAATTTTCATGATGTATTCATTCTAGGTCAGTTTCAACCTAAATGTTTTGCTCGTACAATTGTACTTTTGCGGTCGCCAATGTCTGATATGTGTACCAACTTTAATAAAATATCTCATGTGTGTGATATTAACTATTCTGAATTGTCGTTTATTATTTGTAATTTTTTAAGCATTTATGTTTATAGACTTATTTTATTAATGTATAAGTTATTTTATATTTTTGCTATTACTATAGTTTTATTTTTTTATTTTTTGTTCTTTGTCCTGTAATTGGAATTTTTTCTGTTGGGCAAATAAATTTATTATTATTATTATTATTAAACATAAAGAAAATTTTTGAACGAACAGTTTTCTTGGATGACAGTGTTTAAAAACCCGGTAAAAACTCGCGAAGAATTAATAGCATGAAAATGCATCTTTATGTCGACCACAACGGGAACAACTTTGAACAAATTGTCATTTTTGTTTTTATAGTTATATTGTTTTAAAACACTAGCCAGGAGTAGCCTCATTTTGTTGGGTTTTGATAAAAAAGTTATTTGAAATATTTGTTTGTCTATTTAATTTCTACACGCTGATAAAAGAAGAGTTATCTTTAAACTCACCCTGTATAGAAAATTAAATTACCTAAATTTATTAAACAAATCAAATATAACACGGTGCGCTTCTGTGGTAAAAGTGTAAACCATATGTGTGATGCGATGAAAAAATGAAGATTTTTTTAAAACAGAATCGAGAATATTCGACTGAATGTCTGACAACACTTTAATCCAGTCAAACCGTATAATTAAACTTAAAATAGATCTAAAATCGATAACATTTGTAGATTGTGTAGTGGGTGCTAATGGAACACTCCACCAAGACTTTTCGCCTCTTGAATACCTTTAATATTGATATATTAAATAATCAAGTTGGACTATGAATTCAAAGGTCGAAACCAAAAAAATTAACAGTCAAATGTCGAAGATCTAATGACCAATACAAAGTAATCGAACTCGCCTCTAAACGAGAAAAAAGTGGATGAATTGGCATCCACTACACACGTTTATAATGTAATTCGTTTTAGATTTATTATAAATTAAGCTAAATTGATACCGTTTGACTAGACTATCTAAGGAGCAACTGACAAAAACGCATTAAATCCATTTTGAGATTTATAGGTAAATATAAATAAAAATGTAGCATTTAGTAGTATCAACCATTAAGACCAACTACTGTAGATCGATCAATATAATATTGTACTAAAGTATTTTGATCAAAGTGGTTATTCTTATAATAGAAAACTTGCTGGTACATTTTAATGTTTACCTCAAAAATCGTAGTAATCAATTTAATACGTTTAGGTGATTTTCTCCTTATTTGATAAATGAACACAACGTCTAGACATACATAGAACGAACGAGCTGATCATTGCTGCACAGGAACAACGCAACAACGCACTACAACAGTCTAATACGCACGACACTGTCACAACGCCACAACAAGGACATCGGGACTTGGTCTTACTTGACCGGGTCCAAAGAAGAAGTATTCAGTAGAAGAATGAAGAAGCGGGTCGGGAGCTAGCTCAATCTCTTCTCGTTACCTTGCCTATCGCCTATCGCTCTTTTCGTCTATTTCCAATAGACGACGACTTCGTCGCTGCAGCCGCTGCTGATGCTGCAAGCCATCACAAGCTCTGCAATCAGAACATATCTACCAGCGGCGACCTACACACCATGAGAGCATGCTCTCTTTCGCCCCTATCGCTCTTTTCTTTTTACTTCTTACTTACTTACTTACATTGTTAACATTTGTTTAAAGTATCAATTTCAACAAGCAAAGATTAAATTTAGCCACAAGTTTTTCAGCATAAATCTGTTTTATTTATTTATCTGTTTTATCTGTAGTATCATACCCTACATTTTAAATTTTAAAATTATACAGGGATTTTATCTTAAATTTAAAAAGCAAATGTTACGCAATGTCAAGATAAACCAGTAGTATTAAATGGAGAAATGTTATATTTAAAAAAATACAGGGTGTCCCATAATTAGCGTGCATTACTTTAACAGCAGATTCTACGTACAAAAATAAGAAAAAAAGTCCATAGGTCGAGAAATGCTTTCCAAGGGAGCTACAGCCCCCGAAAGAGGAGCCCCTGAAGATGGTTTTTATTTAATATCTCCAA